GCACTGCAGGTGAAATGGTCTTTTGTGTGTTTGAATCATATCCTTAATTCTTAGTACCTTCTGAGTATTTAGGAATAAAGTCTTGCAATTGTACAACTTACTTAAATGGTACAGCAAAAAAATTTTGTATATACAGATATAGAGCAAAGTGGTAAATTATTAAGGACTAGTGAATCTTGGTGAAGATTGTTATGGGGTTTTTTTTTGTTGTTTTTTTGAGACAGAGTCTCGCTCTGTCGCCCAGGCTGGAGTGCAGTGGCCGGATCTCAGCTCACTGCAAGCTCTGCCTCCCGGGTTTACACCATTCTCCTGCCTCAGCCTCCCGAGTAGCTGAGACTACAGGCGCCCGCCACCTTGCCCGGCTAGTTTTTTCTGTATTTTTTTTAGTAGAGACGGGATTTCACCGGGTTAGCCAGGATGGTCTCGATCTCCTGACCTCGTGATCCTCCCGTCTCGGCCTCCCAAAGTGCTGGGATTACAGGCTTGAGCCACCACGCCCGGCCTTGTTATGGAGTTTTTAACTCAGTTGGCAAAATGCAAAAAAAAGTTCCCAAATTCAGACTTTTAAGAGGGGTATAATACTTACAGATATTAAGCAATATTATAAAAAACAAAAAAGAAAATCCTCCAAGGAATATAAGGAGACTGGTAGGATACAAGGTGTATTGGTTTGAATAGAGTCCCCCAAAGTCCTGTCCACGCAGTACTTCAGAATGTGACCTTCTTTCTTTCTTTTTTTTTTTTTTTTTCCGTCTCTTCAGAACCAAATGCCTCAAGAGGACTGCTGTGCTCATTCTTGACACTGGCTTGTCTCCCATTCTGTTTTTACCAGACCAGTCAGGCTTTCACCCCTAGATGCCCCTGAAAATTTCCTTTAGCAAGGCTAAATATTGTGGTCAGACTGGGAGCCATGGCTCACACCTGTAATCCCAGCACTTTGGGAGGCCGAGGTGGGTGGATCACCTGAGGTCAGAAGATTGAGACCAGCCTGGCCAACATGATGAAACCCCACCTCTACTAAAATTACAAAAATTAGCCAAGCATCGTGGCAGGCGCCTGTAATCCCAGCTACTCAAGAGGCTGAGGCAGGAGAATCACTTGAACTTTGGAGGCAGAGGTTGCAGTGTGCCAAGATTGTGCCACTACACTCCAGCCTGGGCGACAAGAGTGGCACTCTGTCTTGAAAAAATATATATCTATTGTGGTCAATTCTCATCACTGCTTAGCTTAGTTCACTTTTCAGATGATCGTTCTTCTATCTTTTTTTTTTTCTTTTTAAGAGATGCGGTCTTGCTCTGTTGCCCAGGCTGGAATGCAGTGATGTGATCATAGCTCACTGCAGCCTCAAACTCCTAGGCTCAAGCAGTTTTCCTGCATCAGCCTCATGAGTAGCTAGGATTACAGGGGCATGACTCTATGCCTGGCTAATTTTTAAACTCTTTGTAGAGATGGGGGTCCTGCTATGTTGCCCAGGCTGGTCTTGAACTCCTGGCTTGAAGTGATTCCCCCTGCCTTGGCCTCCCAAAGTGTTGAGATTATAGGAAGAAGCCACTGTGTCTGGCCTACTCTTCTATCTTGAAACACTTTCTTCATTTGTCTTTGGTGGCACCACTTTCTGGTTTTAATTCTACCTTAAAAGAGGCAGTCTCTTTTGCAGCCTCCTCTAGAAGACCTCTAAATGTTAAGAGTAGCCACTACTGGCTGGGTGCAGTAGCTCACGCCTGTAATCCCTGCACTTTGGGAGGCCAAGGCAGATGGATCAGGAGTTCAAGACCAGCCTGGGCAACATGATGGGCAACATGATGAAACCCCATCTCTACTAAAAATATAAAAAATTAGTAAGGCTTGGTGGCAGGCACCTGTAATCCCAGCCACTCAGGAGGCTGAGGCAGGAGAATCACTTTAACCCAGGAGGTAGAGGTTGCAGTGAGCTGAGATTGCATCACTGCATTCCAGCCTGGGTGACAAGAGTGAAACTTTGTCTCAAAAAAAAAAAAAAAAAAAAAAAAAGAATAGTCACTACCTGCACTGACTCTCTAGGGGACCTCAGCCAGTGCCATGGCTTTAAATAGCAGCCAAATGCCAATGAATCCCAATTTTTATTTTTATTTATTTATTTTGAGACAGAGTTTTTCTCTGTTGCTCAGGCTAGAATACAGTGGTGTGATCATAGCTCACTGCAGCCTTGACTTCCTGAGCTCAAGCCATCCTCCTGCCTCAGCCTCCCAAGTAGCTGGGACTACCAGTGTATACCACCACGCATGGCTAATTTGTACATTTTAGGTAGAGATGGGATATCCCTGTGTTGCCCAGGCTGGTCTCCAACTCCTGGGCTCAAGTAACCCTCCCAACTTGGCCTCCCAAAGCGCTGGGATTCCAGGCATGAGCCACCAGGCACAGCTGCATCCCAAGTTCTCATGTGTAAGCCTAAACTCTCCCTGAGCTCCAGACTTGCATATTCCACAGCCCACTCAGCATCTTTGGTTGGATCACTAGTAGTCATCTCCAACTTAACATATGGAAAGCAGACACCTTTAGGTATGCCCTTCAACCTGCCCTTCCCTCTTTACCATCTCACATGACTGTACCCCCATTCAGCTGCTCAAGTCCAAACCTGTTGATCCTTCTTGATTTCCCTCTTCGCCTCCATATCCATTTACAATCCACCTACATGTTGTGGGTTTTACATTAAAAATGTATGATGAACACCCTGCCTTCTCACCACTGTCCACCACTAACATCCTAATCCAAACCACAAACCACTCAGAACCCCAGCTTGCATTGCTCTTGCCCCCATTCAGACTACCCACTACAAATACCTGCAGTAATTATCTAAAAACATAAACTAGGATGATGGTTGATAGGGTTTGGCTGTGTCTCCACCCAAATTGCATCTTGAATTGTAGCTCTCCTAATTCTCACGTGTTGTGGGAGGGATCTGGTGGGAGATAACTGAATCATGGGGGCAGTTTCCCCCATACTGTTCTCACGGTAGTGAATAAGTCTCATGAGAGCTGATGGCTTTCTAAGGGGAAACCCCTGTCACTTGGTCCTCATTCTCTCTTGTCTGCTGCCATGTAAGACATGCCTTTTGCCTTCCGCCATGATTGTGAGGCCTCCTCAGCCACATGGAACTGTGAGTCTGTTAAACCTCTTTTTCTTTATAAATTACCCAGTCTCAGGTATATCTTTATCAGCAGTGTGAAAACAGACTACCACAATGGTGGAAATGGTAGCATTGTTTTTGAATTTAAACAAATACCCCCATAAAAACAGAGCAAACAGGATAGCAAAACTGTAAAAAAACAACAACAAACAAACAGACAAAAAAACTACAGATAACATATACAACAAAACTACAGGAAGAGGTACCCTCAAAATGGCAAAATTCTAGCAGACAGAGACAAAATATTACAGCTAAGACTTGTGTGGTTTAGGCATCTGTGCAGGAAAAAGCAGAGGGGGACAATGTGGGGTGTCTGACAGACCTGAGAACCCCAAAATAACCAGCAGGTGTCCATAAGCATAGCAGGCTGATTTGAGAAGAGCAGGTAAGACTGGGAGTGAGAATATGGGATGTCTGGCAAAGTTTGAAGTGGCTAGAGGTGATTAATCAGGGAGGGAGGCAGGTGAGTGTGATTAGGTACAGGGCATAAGCCTTAAGGGAAGGTAAAAGAGTTTTCTCTCTTCATTTGGAGAATCCGGGTTGAAGGGTATATGAAAACTCTTAGTACAACTTTCCAACTTTTCTATAAGCCTAATATTATTTTATAAAAATTGTTTTTTAAATTTTTTATTTTACTTTAAGTTCTGGGATATGTGTGTAGAACATGCAGGTTTGTTACATAGGTATACATGTGCCATGGTGGTTTGCTGCACCCATCAACCCGTCATCTAGGCTTTAAGCCCTGCATGCATTATATATTTGTCCAAATGCTCTCCCTCCCATTGTCCCCCAGCCCCCGTAAAAATGTTTTATCTTTTGACCAGAGTGATGGTTACAAAGGTATCTGCTTTATAATAACTCATCAAGCTGTACATTTTAATATTGTTTTTCTGGTATCTGTTTCCTATTTAATAGAATTTTCCAAAATTCAAAAATTGGAAAAATGTAAATTAGGTCATAGTTTCTAGTTACATTAGAAAATAATCCAAATTCCCAGCCAGGCACGATGGCTCATGCCTGCAATCTCAGTACTTTGGGAGGCCAAGGCAGGAGGATCACTTGAGCCCAGGAGTTCAAGACCAGCCTGAGCCACATAGTGAGACCTTGTCTCTACTGAAGATTTAAAAAATTAGACAGGTGTGGTGGCCTGCGCCTGTAGTCCCAGCTACTCAGGAGGCTGAGGCAGGAAAATGGCTTGAGCCCAGGAGGTCGAGGCTGCAGTGAGCTATGATTGCACCACTGTATGCCAGCCTAGGTGACAAAAGAAGACTGTCTCACTCAAAAACAAAACAAAACAAACAAATTCAAATTCCTCCTAGCACTCTAGCTTTTTCCTTCTTACTTTTCTCCCATTAATTCTGCCCGAACCTACTTACTGCTCCTGAAACACACAAAACTCATTCCCACCTAAAGCATCCACATCTGCTATTCCCTCTGCTTGGCATGTCTTACATAATTACATGGCCTGAACTCTCACTTCTTGTTCCTGTCTCTGTTCAAATATTACTGTCTAAGAATATATGAATAAATCCAAATGCAAAAGAGGAGGTAAAAGCAGTGAAATTCAAAACACAGATGGAACAATGCACTGGGAAAGTGACTAAGTCAGTAATAAACTGAGAGGGAAACAAGAGGTGAGTATTAACATGGGTAATGAAGTTCCTTTGGAGAGGCTGGTGAGATATTTCTTTCTTACCCAAGTCTCAGCCTTTTTCTATGCAGGCCCTAGGGCTTTGAAGGGAAACTTCCAAACATGGCAGAGATGCACCTCCTCCCTGACAGCTGGGCTGTTTCCAGCAATGATGACCTCCCTACCTGCCATGCTTTTACTCACCTGTGCACCACCTTCTTCCATCTTTCCTCACTGTCACCTCACGCTCTTTCCATTGTTCCAATAAGGCGATCACATGTGGTTTAGAAAGGGAATGTCCTGCTTATAAGAATGTGGAAAAGAAATAAAATATGAGTTCAAAAATACTTTCAGCTTTGGTTAAATTTGCCATAAATGAAAGGTCAAATGACAGTGACCTTTATATCTCAGAGATGAGAAGAGTAAGAGGATTCATAATTCCAGATAGGTAGAGAAAGGTTTTATTTATTTATTTATTTAGAGATGGAGTCTCACTCTGTCACCAGGCTGGAGTGCAGTGTGTGATCTCAGCTCACTGCAACCTCTGCCTCCCGGGTTCAAGCGATTCTGCTGCCTCAGCCTCCCGAGTAGCTGGGACTATAGGCATGTGCCACCACGCCCAGCTGATTTTTGTATTTTTAGTAGAGATGGGATTTCACCATGTTGGCCAGGATGGTCTCAATCTCTTGACCTTGTGATCCGCCCACCTTGGCCTCCCAAAGTGCTGGGATTACAGGCATGAACCACCACGCCCGGCTGCAAGGTTTTATTTTAAATGAAATCTATCTATCTATCTATTATAAATATAGATAAGTGTATACTCATTTATTTTTTGTGTCTTGATAAAAAATGGGGCCCAGTGGCTCATGCCTGTAATCCCAGCACTTTGGGAGGCCAGGGTGGGCAGATCTCTTGAGGTCAGGAGTTTGAGACCAGCCTGGCCAACATGGTAAAGCCCCGTTTCTACCAAAAATACAAAAATTAGCGGGGTGTGATGGTGTATGCTTGTAATCCCAGCTACTAGGGAGGCTGAGGCCGGAGAATTGCTTGAACCTGGGAGGTGGAGGTTGCAGTGAGCTGAGATCATTACACTCCATTCCAGCCTGGGCAACAGAGTGAGACTATGTCTCAAAAAAAAAAAAAAAAAAAAAAAAGGCCAGGCGCGGTGGCTCAAGCCTGTAATCCCTGCACTTTGGGAGGCCGAGACGGGCGGATCACGAGGTCAGGAGATCAAGACCATCCTGGCTAACACGGTGAAACCCCGTCTCTACTAAAAAAATACAAAAAACTAGCCGGGCGTGGTGGCGGGCGCCTGTAGTCCCAGCTACTCGGGAGGCTGAGACAGGAGAATGGCGTAAACCCGGGAGGCAGAGCTTCCAGTGAGCTGAGATCTGGCCACTGCACTGCAGCCTGGGCGACAGAGCGAGACTCCGTCTCAAAAAAAAAAAAAAAAAAAGTATGACATTGTGATTGAGAACACGGATTGTGGAACCTAAGTGCCTGGGTTCAAGTTTCTGCTACCGTCACCTATGGGCTGTGTGATCTTGCATAACTCACTTAAATACACTGTGCTTTAGAATTCTCATCTAAAATGGTTAGCACCTATAGAGTGCTTGTAAGGATAAAAATCAGTTAATACAAATATATATTAATATAAAGAGCAGAGAACAGTGAACCAGCACACAGTAAGCACACTGTGTGTTACTAACATTATTATTGTTATTTTGCTAAGAGAAAAACAAAGTCTCCTTAGACATCTACATCTATAGGATATAGGTTTAATTTGCATTTACTCTTAAATGCAAAGTTCAGAGATGATGAATTTTAACCACAAAATCAGATTATATCATACAAAATAAAATGAGGTAGCTCCAGTTTTAAATGATTTGTTTATCCAATCCGCCGGCATATAAGTTGTATAGGCTCTTCAGGTAGAACAAATCAAGACCCTTTGTCTAGCTGTTTTGCCTGCAAGGTGGGTCAGATTTTCACAGAACGTTCAGAGCAATTCAGAGCAAAAACATAATAGAAAACCTGGCCTCTTTTGTCAATGTTTTGCAATAAACAATCCAGAATTCTAATCCTGCCATTGGATCATTTCCAACCTAACAGAGCTCAAATGATTTATCTGGCAACAAGAAGAAATTGTGTTCAGTTCTTAAGATAGCCCTAAAATCTATAATGGAGAAAGTATAACAGGGAGCAGATTCTCAATTATTTGAGAAAGGTACACTTACCCATTGATACCAAGTTCCTGTAGTTCTCCAACATCACATCGCTGTACAAGCCCCTCTGGGAAGAGTCCAGACTCTCCCACTCCTGCTGGGAGAAGGCTATGGCCACATCCTCAAATGTCACTGATCCCTGAAACTGCAAACCCACATATTTCTGGTGAAATCAAAGAAAATGCTTTCAAGGTGAAAGGAGAGGAAATAAATGTTTCGATGTAGTAAGGGAACAATAACATAGGCTGGAAGCTTATAACATGGGAAGTGGATGAGCATAGTATCTGCATGTTCTAGAAGAATCCTGCTGCTATGGACAAAATGTCCTATATATTGTAGGATATCACAATACTCTATATCTGTGGTGAAATGGACAAAATAATCCTAGTTTCCCTTTTATGTAAAAGAGTATATACAAAGATATTGCCTGTTAGGTATCCAACTAAACAAATTCTCAAAAAGGATTAGTCTCTATATTACTCTTCCTTTAAGAGGAAAATAGCTATGATTTCTTTCTCCAACTGTAGAATAAAATCTGTCTTAGAAAATAGCCATGACACAAATTTGTTGAATAACTCCTCAAGCTTCAAGTTCATTATGGTCAGATCGTAAGTGTTTTTCCTTGTATTAATAAACACTTTTTCCCATAGTGACATAAAAGTTATCTTGTGGATCTACATTGAGTTAGTAACTTTGCGAGGCTGAGGTGGGCAGATCACTTGAGGTCAGGAGTTCGAGACCAGCCTGGCCTACATGGTGAAACTTGTCTCTACTAAAAATACAAAAATTAGCTGGGCGTTGTGGCAGATGCCTGTAATCCCATCTACTCGGGAAGCTGAGGCAGGAGAATCACTTGAATCCAGGAGGTGGAGGTTGCAGTGAGTCGAAATTGTGCCACTGTAGCCTGGGTGACACAGCGAGACTGTCTCAAAAAAAAAAAAAAAAAAAAGTAATGATTTTATACTTATAAAAGAAGACTGAACCAAACGCCTCAGGTTTCCCCAATTCTGGTAATCTGTTAATCTACTACTGATAACAATATACTTACAGCGTCACACAATATCCTTCACTTAATATTTTGTCTGTTGTTTTTAAAAATTTTTTTGAGATGGAGTCTTACTGTGTTGCCCAGTGTGTAGTGCAGTGCTATGATCATAGCTCACGGCAACCTTGAACTCCTGGGCTCAAAGTGTCTTTCTGTCTGAGGTTCCCAAGTAGTTAGGATGACAGGCAAGTGCCCCCATGCCTGGCTAATTAAAAAAAATTTTTTTGGTAGAAAAAGGGTCTTGCTATGCTGCCTAGGCTGGTCTTGAACTCTTGGGCTCAAGTGATCCTCCCACCTTGGGTTCCCAAGGTCCTGGGTTTACAGGTGTGAGCCACTGCACCTGGCCATTTGGCTAGGCTTGAGTTAGTGGATTAGGGTGAAAATGACTCAGAACCGAAAGCATGTTGTCCAAGTCTGGCAGGTCCCATTCCATAACAAAATTGACCTAGTATCACTCTTGGGCATCCCAAGAAGAATCATATCAATGTTTCACGTCACAATCACATTCCCAATCAATCTTTTTTGTTTTTTGAGACGGAGTCTGGCTCTGTCGCCCAGGCTGGAGTGCAGTGGCCGGATCTCCGCTCACTGCAAGCTCCGCCTCCTGGGTTCACGCCATTCTCCTGCCTCAGCCTCCCGAGTAGCTGGGACTACAGGTGCCTGCCACCTCGCCCAGCTAGTTTTTTGTATTTTTTTTAGTAGAGACGGAGTTTCACTGTGTTAGCCAGGATGGTCTTGATCTTGTGACCTCGTGATCCGCCCGTCTCCGCCTCCCAAAGTGCTGGGATTACAGGCTTGAGCCACCGCGCCTGGTCCCCCAGTCAATCTTAAAAGCCTCAGAGAGCATGTTATCTCATCATATTGAGACCAATTAGTACAAAATTCCATCTTATCAGCTCTGTGGAAAACTTCAAATCTTCTGATGTGTGGCCAGATGAAGCCAACAGATCGAACTCATCAAACCACAGCTGGATGTAGGAAGCTCGAATACTTCTGCTATGGGACTTCAGTCCTTCACTGCTCTATCACAGCCTTTCAGCTAAGACTTACTATTTACCTGCTCAGTAATTTGCTCAATGAATTCAGGAACACCAATCAGAAACGAGGACCTCGTAAGGAGGAAACAATACTTCGACATCTTTCTGCCACACAGAAGGAATCAAGTAGGCAATTAGATGGTGTACTCTGATGCAGAATGCTTCAGATCAATTAAGGAAAATAGCCACATAATGTAAAAATCCCAATATTTCAAGAAGAAACACCAACTTACGTGGGCCATGCTTTGAGAACTGTAAGAACTGATCAGTCTTCACTGGGGTTCCTCTATCTGAGAAGTTCAAACTCTAGAAAATCCAGAAAGAGGAAAAGGAGGCTTTAGTGTTCTCAATGACATACATTAATAAACCTTCTTGTCCCTCCATTTCAGCTTCCGAACTGTGCTACAAACACCCTCAAACAAAATTTGGAGAACAGTGGAATTCAAGCCCCAGTGAACTAAGCTGTACAGAGTTGGATGCAGAGGAGTGGCACTTCTTAAGGAAGGCAGAATCAGACACAATCTTTCCCACTAGGCCCTCATTTTGGGAATGTCGATCTAGGTCTCAAATTGGGCTGCACAGTCCTCTCTTGAACAGATTCTCCTCACTCCATTCCCACGTTCTAAGCCTAAGAGTCCACATCACCCAATCCAGAGCTTCTTTAATGGTGGCAGTATAAATCTGAGGTTGGTCAGGACATGGGAGATAGAGAACATAGGAGAAAATGATTAGGCAGTTACTAATATGGCTCAGTTTTCTCATCACTAAAATAGTAATTAGGAATATCAGCTCCAACATGTGGTTGTCCTGAAGAATAAGAAAACCCATCCCCAAAACCTAATAGAATACTTGTTTAATATGAGTTAGCTCTTTTTTTTTTTTTTTTTTTTTTGAGACAGAGTCTTGCCCTGTCACTCAGGCTGGAGTGAGTGCAGTGGCGCCATCTTGGCTCACTGCAACCTCTGCCTCCAGATTCAAGCGATTCTCCTGCCTCTGCCTCCCTCCTGAGTAGCTGGGACTACAGGTGCAGTCAAGCCCAGCTAATTTTTGTATTTTTAGTAGGGGGGTTTCACCGTGTTGGCCAGGATGGTCTCTATCTCCTGACCTCGTGATCCACCCGCCTCGGCCTCCCACAGTGCTGGAATTACAGGCGAGAGCCACAGCGTGCAGTCGAGTTAACTCTTATTATGGTAGTTCCCTCTTTTTCACAGTGGGGAGATACACTCAAAGATCCTCAGTAGATGTCTGACCGAACCCCACATATACTGTTTTTTCTTATACCTACACACCTATGATTACGTTTAATTTATATATTAGGCATCATAAGGGATTTTTTTTCTTTTTCCTTTTTTCTTTTTGTTTTGTGACAGGGTCTCGCTCTGTTGCCCAGGCTGGAGTGCAGTAGTGTGATCTCGGTTCACTGCAACCTCCACCTCTTGGGAGCCTCCCGAGTAGCTGGGATTACAGGGGCCTGCCAAAACGCCTGGCTAATTTTTGTATTTTTAGTAGAGACAGGGTTTTGCCGTGTTGGCCAGGCTGGTCTCAAACTCCTGACTGCATTGGAGTTGTTATTACATAAACATTATACAACCTTTATTTCATTTTAATTAAAGAAACACTTTGTTTCCACTTAATTTATTTATGTATCTATTTTTTTTTCAGAGACAGGGCCTTGCTTTGTTGCCCAGGCTGGATTACAGTGGCGTCCTCTCCACTCACTGCAACCTCCACCGACTCCCAGTTTCAAGCACTTCTCCCACCTCCGCCTCTCAAGTAGCTGTGACTACAAGCGCGCGCCACCACACTTGGCTAATTTTTATATTTGTAGTAGAGACAGGGTTTCACCATGTTGCCCTGTTGCTGGTCTCAAACTCCTAAGCTCAGGCAATCCACTCGCCTCAGCTTCCCAAAGTGCTGGGATTACAGGCATGAGCCGTTCCACCCGACCTGTTTCCACTTTTTACTTAAAACGTGTTTCTCTGGCATGCTTTCTTTTAATTCTAACTAAAAAATTGAGCAACTCTTCTTTAAAAACAAACAAAAAACCAACAGAAAAGATTCTCTGATGTTTAAATTTCCTCTGTCCCCTAGCAGCTAGAGAGAGCGAGCTACTGCTGTGGGATAATGCAAAATTGAAGACCCTTAAGAAAAGGCTGGGTCCTATTTCTGTGCAATATGGAGATTGACGGAAATGTGTACAGCTGTCATCTTGCTCTCCTTTCTTACATAATTTTGTCATTAGGAAAGTAATCTGCACAACAGATACTTTGAAGTCCTTTTCCCTGCACTGATAATTTTCAGATGACATTGCTCTCATCTTTAAAAAAGGTGTAATACTTATAAAGTTTTTTCCAAACAAGAAGAGGCTTCCTGGCACTCCCACTTCTTCCCGCTGCATGCACAAGGTATCATATCTATCGTTTCCTTTTTAAACTGAGAGTTGAAGACTCTTTTCTTCCTTTACATAAATCAATTACAGTGATTTTATCCAAAATAGTAACAAATATTAATAGCTCAGATTCGCATGGAGGCCGTGCACCCAGTCTTCGCGGGTGCACACCGGCCCTCTCCCACGCACCCTCCCTTTCCCTGCCTCTCCTGCACTCGCGGGCCCGGGATCCTCGCCCGGTCCACCCAACGCTCACGCATGTCTCAGTTCGGGTTCTGCGCCGACCGAGGTCTGCAGAACTCCCGGTGCTAACTGTGTTCCTTTGCAGAAATTCAGGTTGCCTGGCGGGGCTGCTCTAACCTCTGAGCCGGGCGCTGACTTCTACCTCGCAGAACTCCAAAGGTCGCTGCCAGGTCAACGACCACAATGAACTGGCGAAGAGGTAGAGTGAGGTCGTTCCACGAGCAGCTGAGAAATGTAGTTTCAGGCTACATTGGCCGGATCGCAGTAGCCTGTGGGAAATGTAGTCCGGAGCCGTCACACCGCCGAACATGCGCAGCGCAGTCCACAAGTCCTCCCACCGGCGCCCGGAGACTTCTGGGAGCTCCCGTCTGGCTGAGAGTGCGCAGGCGCAGGCGCTTGCAGAGCTGGAAGCTGTAGACCTCCAAGCTGGGTGATTTTGGGGAGTCGGGGGGCGACTGACACCCGAGGCCCGAAGTAGGTGGCCAGCTTCTTAGAGGGCCAACCCAGGGCAGTAACACACCAGGTCAGAAAAAGCAAAAACAAAAACAAAAAATGATAATGTATACCAAAATATGTTATTACTTTAACACAAAAATATGAAAACTAGGTGTTTGAAATTATCTTTCCGTACTGTTTGCTTTTCGCTACAGAAATACTATTATTTAACAGAACATTAATACGATTAATAGTGGCAATTTGACTGATCACGTGTGAGAAAAATATATTTCTGTCCTCTGATACAGAAATTTTAAGTTTCTATTAAATATTTAAATTTTGTGGGTTTTATCTAAGATGCTAAATGTAAGACCTTTTAAAAGGAGAATGTAAATAAGACGAATCAAACAGACATTAACTATATGTAAAAGGCATTTATCTTTCACTCTTTCTGGTTCCTTTTCCAGTAATACTTCTCTGTATTATCTGCCTGTAGCCTTTATGGCATTCTTCTTTTGGTTTATATAATGCTAAAACTGAATACAGGCAAACGTGAAATTCACCTTGACTGTCAGCTCTGCTTTTGGTTTGTTTGCTTTGTTTTTGTTTTGTTTTGAGACAGGGTCTCCCTCTGTTGCTCAGACTGGAATGCAGTGGCGCGATCTCGATCTCGGCTCACTGTAATCTCCGCTTCCCAGGTTCAAGTGATTCTCCCACCTCGGCCTCCAGAGTAGCTGGGACTACAGAGTAGTGGCCTCCAGAGGCGCGCGCCACTATACCTGGCTAATTTTTATGTATTTTTTGTAGAGATGGGGTTTTGCCATCTTGCCCAGGCTAGTCTCGAACTCCTGGGCTCAAGTGATCCACCCGCCTCGGCCTCCCAAAGTGCTGGGATGACAGGGTGAGCCACCGCGGCCAGCTGAGCTCTGTTCTTATTAAGCCCACGTTACAGTGATTCCTGGTGTCAGTCCAGGGTGATGACATTGATACGGAAGCGGTGAAGGGGAGTGCTGGGGAGGGAAAGTCGGGGTCCCTTTAAATGATACGGAAGGGGGAAGGGAAGTGCTGGGTACAGGAGGGTGTGGACCCTGGCTAGGGCTCCACCCCTGGCCCTGTGCCCACTGACCTAGGTGAGGACAGACATTTTTGTTTTCCTGCCCAAATTTTGCATTTCCCAAGACCGCCCTGGCCTGCCACGCCCCCATCCTGTTCCCGCCCCCATCTTGTACGTATAAATACTCTGAGACCCTAGGAAGCAGACACACATGCCACTGGACATCCAGAGGAACATGTTGGCGGAAGAAGACGTGACAGACGCTGGCACGCGGGCAGGCCACCCACCAGAAGGACGCAGAGTTTGGCTGGGGCAGTCGGAGGAGAGCAGGTGCTGCGGAGCAGCCCGACTCCAGGGGAAAACCATCTCCCTTCTGGCTCCCCCAACTGTGGAGAGCTAACTCAAAACCCTGCAGTCATCCTCCAAGCCCATGTGTGATCTGATTCTGCTGGTACACCAAGACAGGAACCCCCGGATACAGAAAGCCCTCTGTCTTTGCGATGAGGCAGGGATCTAATTGAGCTGACTAACATAAACCGCCTGCGGACGGCTAAACTAAAAGAGCACCCTGTAACATGCCCACTGGGGCTTCAGCTGTCAACATTCATCCCTAGACACTGCCATGGGGTCGCAGCCCCACAGCCCACCCGTCTGTATATTCCCCTGGAGGTTTAAGCAGCAGGGCACTGAAGAAGCGAGCCACACTCCCATCGCACGCCCTGCCAGGAGGACAAGGGAACTTTTCCCTTATCAACATCAACCTAATAACCTCGCAATTTGACTGTGAATAGTTAGGATTTTCACTACCAGCAGTAGCAGGTTTTTAGCCTTATTGGAATTAGTTTCTAGCTCTGCAAAAACGTCCGTCCGCTTTGTAATTCCAGGCTTTTTTGGTAGAGCAGCTGTTTGTTGACCAGTTGCTTCGCCTCTGTAAGTTCACCATGTAGGCTATTCATGTCTAAAGTGTCCATCATTTTCAAACCCTCTGAAACTCATTGGATATCTGTCATAATGTCTGAAGACAAATATTTCATTAACAGATAAGAAGGTGATAGACCTGGAGTGAGAATCCAGCCAGTTTATGTCAATCGGAGACAACTTTGCAAGATCCTGTGATTCCTGAACCAGCTGTGGTCACTGATCACTTCTGTCCTGGAGGAAGTAGAGACATTCAAGACAAATAAGGACTCATCTATTCCCCTGATTAAAGGAGTTTTCATAGAGGCTCCATTAGGGGCCAAATTATGTACACTGTGCGGTCTGAGATGGGGATGTGTAAATAGCCATCAAAATGTCATCTGGGCAGAAATTTGTGAGGATAAATTTATGTTCAGGAGTGAGGGGTGAATACAATAGAAATTTGTATTTTGCAGAGGGGAACGTGAGTTCCATGGTGGGTAGAAATGCAACAGATTAGTAGAATACTTAGAATCTCAAAGAAATGTTTAAATCACAGGTGTTTTTGAGAAAATTTTTGAAATGATTTTGAAATTATTTATTCAAAAAGTGCCCCTCAAATACCAAGTGCCCACTCCATAGATGACAGCTAAGGATCACAATCTTACTGCTATGCCCTTGTGTTTTGAGTGAAGACTTGCGTGACTATAGTGAGGTTCTAGATGTTTAATCGTTGAGGGTAAATTGGAGATTTCAGATGAAGCTGTCTCAGGGAAGAGGGAGGAAGGATACTTACAAGCCCTACAGCTGGAATCTTAGCATCCAGTGGAAAATTACAGTCCCTGATCCCTCAGGAAATTTTCTCTGACCTCTGTCAGTGATGTTCTAATCCAGGAGAGCAGAATTTTTCCCCCATATAATGTTTCTCACTGCATTTCCTGAAATACATTTCATCTAAGTTCCATATGTTTATCTGAAAAGAACAGCCACTTACCGAATGGTGTTTCCAACTAGGATAGTGGCCGCAGTTGTAGCATCTTGTGCATTTGTCAAGAGAGGTCATCTGAACACTGAGATAAAGGCTTGGGATTCCATCCTCCTATCTCTTTCTGGGAGTGATTTTCTTCTCATCTGTAAGTGCAGAGACAGAGTCTTCAGGGGGAATTGAGATTACCTCCAAAAAACATTTGTGAAGTGAGCAATTCCCAGAAGGCTGTTAATGTTGATTAATGAAATTATACAAAAAGAATCATAAGATAACTGGAGAAGAAAATTATCTGTGATGCCTGAGAAAAGATACGTCCCAGTGGGAGGTAAGTACAGAATACTGAGTTCTGAGATGTGAGGAAATTTAGTTGAGGTAATGGTTCTACTAGAATTGTGGCTACCATTAAATTTTTGTTCCTTCAGATTATGATTTATTTCTCTTCCTGATAACATTGAACAATCATAAATGTGGAAGGAAAGGAATTGTTGAGGGTAGATTTAGAGAGAGTAAACAGGTGCAAAGCCATGGTTCCCGTGTGTTTTAACAAATACTAACTGAGCACCCACCCTGTTGCAGATGCTTTCTAGATGTGTGAACAAACAAAGAAATGTATCTACCTTAATCTGAGTTGAGAGAAGCACACAATAAATAATAAAGGAAATGTTATAAGTTACATAGTGACTTATAAGGTGTTATAAGTTATGTAACCTATGTTACATATCTGTAACTTATAAGTTACATAGTGACTTATGAGGTGAAAAGTGCAATAGGAAAGGAAACATGAAGAGCAGAACCGAGTGATGAGGAGCCTGTGGAGTAGGAGGGACTCCAGTAGGGAATAGAGGGGGTAGGGTTGATCTCATAGGGAAAATGATACTTGAGCAAATATTTAAAGGAGGTGAGGGAATGAGTGATTTGGAGACACATGAAGATGTTCCATGAAGAAGTGGTCAAACAATGCCCTTTTGGCAGGAGGATGCCCACATTTATTGACTAGTTAATGTGAGAAGATAAAATCTAGGGTTCCCTCCCCAACTTGGGACCACATTGAAGGTCTTTTACAGATCCAGAGCTTCCTGTGGGATTGGCTGAGGCCTTTGTTGTGAATGTATAACATGTCTACTCCCTCTGCCCAATACTGTTTACTTCCTTCACCTTCCCCAGGTACTGAGGCCAAGAGCCATTCCAAATAATTGTCCTGTGTGATAATCTCCATCTCAATGTCTGCTTGCCTGTGAACCCAACCTGTGAGAGAGTTAAATTAATTTGATGTTATCAAATATTTGGTTGAATTGTTAAAGCAAGCAATCTACGTATGTTAGTAAAGAAAGTATCAAGCTGGGCGCCGTGGCTCACACTTGTAATCCCAGCACTTTGGGAGGCCGAGGCGAGCAGATCACGAGGTCAGGAGATCGAGACCATCCTGGCTAACATGGTGAAACCCCATCTCTACTAAAGGTACAAAAAATTAGCCAGGCATGGTGGCGATCACCTGTAGTCCCAGCTACTCGGGAGGCTGAGGCAGGAGAATGGCATGAACCCAGGAGGTGGAGGTTGCAGTGAGCAAAGATCGCACCATTGCACTCCAGCCTGGGCAACAGAGCGAGACTCTGCCATCTCAAAAAAAAAAAAAAAAAAAAACAGAAACAAAACAAAACAAAACAAAACAAAAAAAAAAAGAGAAAGAAAGTATCAATATAGGAAGAGGCTATCAGAAATAGAGATAGCAGAAAATCTTTTGTACTGCAGATTCAGAGGAAGACCAAGAAGCTGTGTTTTGAGTCATTGATCTAACAGCCAGCGTGAGAGAGTGAGACCCTATCTCAAGAAATAATTATAATAAAAGGGTCAATTTAGACTACAAGAATTCTGAGATCTCCTGGGCTTTTTCAGATGGTAGACTGAGGGCTGAAATTGGAGTCACATGGCCCATCTAACTGCATATTTCCATATGCAACTTCTATTTTGTGGAAATCAGAAGAGTTTAAAAGCTAATAGGGGAATACAAGGACACAGGGAGTTTACCCATGAAAACATTTTAGATCTGGAGAGCCACTTTCTAAAACCGCTAGCCTGGCATTGGTGCCATTCACAATTTCTAAGTAGAAGTGGACAAGCATTTTAAAGGTATAGGGAAGGACTTTTCTCCAGCTGATATGGTGGCAGCAAATTATGTGTAAGCATGACAACTAGAAATCATATTTTGTCCAAAGCCAACATACAACATGTTCTGTCAGTGCAGGTGTCCCCCGAAGAGAAGATACAACAATAGGATGAGACGCAAGGGAATTGTTGGGGGAAAGCACCTTTAAAGGATAAAGGGAAGCTAGAAGTGCAGAGAGAGAGCTTTCAGAACCCTGGCTGGGTATGGTGGCTCATGCCTGTAATCCCAGCACTTTGGGAGGCTGAGTCAGGCAGATCACATGAGGTCAGGAGTTCAAGACCAGCCTGGCCAACATGGTGAAACCCCATCCCTACTAAAAATACAAAATTAGCCAGGCATGGTGGCACATGCCTGTAATTGCAGCTACTTGGGAGGCTGAGGCAGGAGAATTGCTTGAACCTGGGAGGTGGAGGTTGCAGTGAGCCGAGATCACACCACTGCACTCCAGCCTGGATGACAAGAGTAAAACTCTGTCTCAAAAACAAAACAAAACAAAACAAAACAAAACAAAACAAAACAAAACTCAGTACCTGTGGGATTCCTTTTGTGTTATTTTTTATATATATATTTTATATATATATATATATAGAATTTGGCCCCTAATGGAGCCTCTATTCACCCAATCAGTTCTTCCTGCCAACTGCACAGAAAAAAATCAATCCACTGAGACCATGGCTTTGCAGTAAATAAAAAGTTTGATGAGAGGCTGGCCATGCCACGAGGGAGATGGAGTTATTATTCGTCAATCTCCCTGAAATTTGGAGGTTGGGGTTTTTCAAAGATATTTTGGTGGGCAGGGGACTAGTGAATGGGTGCTGCTGATTGGTTGGGGAATGCAATTGTAGGGATGAGGAAAATGGTCCTTGTGCACTAAGTCTGCTTCTGTGTGGGGGCAACAGGACTGCTTGAGTCACAGGTTGGGGGGAGCCATCTGGTTGTCAGAAATGCAAAAGCCTGAAAAGACATTTCAAAAGGCCTGTCTTCGATTCCACAATAGTGATGTTAATTACCATTAACATAGTAATTAACATAGGAGGAGCTGGGGAAGTTGCAGATCTTGGGACCTCTAGAATAATGGCTGGGAATTGTTTAACTACACCTACATCTTAGTAGAATTCAGGCCCCTCTGATTTTCCTAACCTGGTAGCCTTTCATTAGTTTTACAAGAGTGGTTTAGTTCTTGAGAAGAGCTATTGTCTTCCAAAGTTAGGCTGACTTATGCCCAGGAATGACCAAGGGCAGTTTGGAGGTTAAAGGCAAGATGGAGTTGGCCAGAATTTTCTCTTACAATTTTTTGCAAAGGCAGTTTCATATATATTGGTTTTCATCCACGGCTCCTGGCTCATAACTCTCGTAGCTCTTGTTACAGTCTTTTGTTATAATGTTGGGTGTGTTGGGCCTGAAGGGCAGGCCTCAGGAAACAGAATCTCTCTCCTGCCCTCATTTAATCTGTCCCAAGGCACGATTGTAATCTTCCTGTGAAAAGTAAAGTAGAGGTTTCTCTTCAAAGATTTTCCTCCCCATCTAATTAGGAATAAATAGTAACTTCTCTTAGAAGCAAAATTTATTCAAAGACCTGTGCTAACATTCTTAAATATCTGCTAACCATAATAAAGAAATCAATGTACTTTATGTTGTTAGCTCCCACAATTTAGCCTAAATATTTGCCCTGGCATGCTTATACTGGTCCAAGCAAGCATTAGGTCATAGTGTGTTCCTCTTCCTTATTTGAAGGTGTTTTTACCATTCTCAGCATTCCACAAGTTACTTCCTCCTTCCTTTGTTCTCCTCTGCCTTTGCCTCTTAAAAAGTTCTAAGTTGCTAGCCAATCGGGACAAATACAGAATGTGAGGTCCCGTTCCAGCCAATGGAAATTGGACACAGCAGTAGGGTGGACGCATCAGGTTCTAAATGACCCTGTCTCCTTTGTTCAGTGTACTCTCGTGGCAAAACTGCTGGCGAGTGTACCCTTTCTGCAGAAAGCATAAAAATGGCCTTGCTGAGAAAATTAAATTTATGTTCAAGTGCTATTTCTTTATGGCACCAGGAAACAAGCATTTCAAACATTCCCCTGCCTTTCTGATTGTGGGTCTTAAGACCCTCCCTTGAGAGGGTCCTGCCTCATATGCTGGGGGAAGAAACGCTTCAATAAGAACCCAAGACAGCTGGCTTTGGAGAGCTTTCAGATAGCTGAACACATGGAAGTGCCTGGAGGATGGTGTGCATGGGGAGGGCATGGAAGCTCTGTGCTCCTTCCCCCATACCATCTCTTCATCTGTGTCCTTTGTAATGCCCTTTATGATAAAGTATAATAGTAAATGTAAATAAGTGCTTCCCTGAGTTCTGTGAGCTGCTCCAGCAAATTAATCAAACCCAAAGAGGGGGCCATGGGAACTGTAACTTGAAGTCTGTTGGTCAGAAGTTCTGGAGAACCGGACTTGTGATTGGTGTCTGAGGGTATGGGGCGGTGGGGGCAGTCTTGGGAACTGAGACTACCACCTGTGGGATATGGAGCTATCTCCAGGTAGGTAGTGTTGGAACTGAATTGGAAGACACCCAACTGGTGTCCACTTCTTGGTGTGTGGGGAAAACCCCCACATTTGGTCACAGAAGGCTTATTCTGTGTTGATGATTGTGGTGGTGGTGTGAGTGCAGAGGAAAAACACGGTTGGAGAGAGTTTTTCCTCCTCCTGTGAAAACAGTGAAAGAAGGAAGGACTAGGTAGCAAATGAGTCACATCTCAGCACACTTCTGATAAGTTTTTGACCAGGCTAGGGGGGAGTCCTGGAGCCACACAAACCCTGCCGAGGATTATCCCATTGGGCAGGAAAGGCCAGATTCTTGTACCTTTGCTGTACATGGTCATTAGATGGGAGGAGCCTAGGGGAAGGGAGGCCTGGAATAAACCCTGTGGTGGATCTAAAGCACAGCTCCTGGAAGCTGTCCATTAGTTGTGCCTGTGCCCCAACAGGTCTCATGAAGGTAGATCCAAGGGAACACTTCCATGGCCACCACAGTCCACCCCTAGTGCTGCACAGAGCCACTTCCCTGGGCACATTCATGGAGCGGCTCTTCAAAAGTCCCCAGAGGGAGCAGCCATGACTGCTAGCTAGTTCAAAAGGATCCTGCTGTGTCCCAGTCAACAGTGGCCTCTTTTGGAATTAGGACCACTAACCCAGCAGATTCTAAAGGTATGGGTACTCCAAGCTGATGTCTCATTTCTAGCATCTGAGCTTTTATGACACGATATATAGAAGTTGTCTCTTTGTAGTAGCTTATGAAAGTGACAATATTTCTCAATATTTTAGAGGAAGTTTCTGATCATGGCAGGGTATCGGTAAATATTCTTTCTCCTTACCTCCAAGGACATTCCTTGTGGTCAGTCCTGCTAAAATGGCAGGGCACATGGCCAGTCCTTGAAGTGCTCCGAGAAGTAGTCTTTGGGAACAACAAGTGGAGCTCACATAGCACCTTTCAACTGCAAAGATACAAACTTGGAGTCAACCTGTTCTATTCCCTGAAGACCCTTGCAGGCACCCATGCTCACTAGGCTTCTTAGAGACTGCTCTGGCCAGCTCTTCCCCACACAAGTAGTCAGGCTGGAGGTTCTACTGCTTTCTATGAAGGTCAGCCACTTGTTCTTTCCCCTCTGGAACATGTTAGCACCACCTTCACAGTGCTCTCTTTCCCTGTTCTGGAGAACACACTTCAAAGGGTCCCCAAAGAGCATGGTGGGATATGTCCCCATATCTGAGAACAGGATCTGGGTCCTGAGAATCACCCCAAGAAGTGCTGAAGTGGCCCAGAACACAGTGTGGAGTGGCACTTCCCCTGCACACTTCTGCAGAATGGCCAGTTCTCTACCGGGATGCCATTTCCTTTTTTTCTCCGTCAGTTTCCTCTTCTCAAAATAACACATTTCCCCTCCCTCCCTCCCTCTCTCTCTTTCTTTTCCTACCTTCCCCCTTCCCTTCCCTTCCCTTCCCTTCCCTTCCCTTCCCTTCCCTTCCCCTCCCTTCCCCTCCCTTCCCCTCCCCTCCCCTCCCTTCGAGAACAGGATCTGGGTCCTGAGAATCACCCCAAGAAGTGCTGAAGTGGCCCAGAACACAGTGTGGAGTGGCACTTCCCCTGCACACTTGCAGAATGGCTGCCCTCTACCGGGATGCCATTTTTTTTTCTCCACAGCTTCCTCTCTTCTCAAAATAACACATTCCCTCCCTCCCTCCCTCTCTCTCTCTTTTCTTTTCCCCTACCTTCCTTCCTTCCCTTCCCCTTCCTTCCCTTCCCCCTTCCCTTCCTTCCTCCCTTCCCTCCCTTCCCTCCCTCCCCTCCCCTTCCCTCCCCTCCCTTCCCCTCCCTCCCTCCCCTCCCTTCCCCTCCCCTCCCCTCCCCTCCCCTTCCCTTTGTCTTGCTCTGTTGCCCAGGCTGCAGTGCAGTGGTGCGATCTCAGCTCACTGCAACTTCAGCCTCCCAGGTTCAAGTGATTCTCCTGCCTCCTGAGTAGCTGGGACTGCAGGTGCTCGCCACCACATGTGGCTTTTTTTTTTTTGTATTTTTAGTAGATACAGGGTTTCGCCATGTTGGCCAGGCTAGTCTTGAGCTCCTGACCTCAAGTGATCAGCCCACCTCAACTTTCCAAAGTGCTGGGATTACAGGCATGAGCCACCACACCTAGCTTCATCTTTCTGTCTTGGCCTTCTGTCTTTTCATTGTTCTGTCTACATTATCTCTGATTTCAGTTTTATTTTTGTTTTTAGAAGTTGGCCAGTAGATATGAATAAGGAGAAGGAGTGTTTGTATGTTGACATATACTCTCTGAAATGTAGGATGAATGTATTTTCCCAGACTGAGTGTTGATGTACATATAGGAAAAATCTCACAAAACAGGATGCAAATAAAATGAAATGATGGATCAAAAAACAGTAACACAGAGGCCATGCAGGATTTCCATATCCTTAAATGATGATCAACTTATTAATTGATAGATCTTTTATTTTAATTTTATTATTATTGTTATTATTATTATTATTATTTTTTGAGATAAGAGTTTCACTCTTGTTGCCCGGGCTGGAGTCCAGTGGTGTGATTACAGTTCACACTCAAACTCCTGGGCTCAAATGATCCTCCCACCTCAGCCTTCCAAGTAGTTGGGACTATCGGCGTGTGCCACCACACCCGGCTAGACCTTTTAAGATTTTTATACTTTTAAGATTGTTTATTTATTTAGAGACAGGGTCTCACTCTGTCGCCTGGGCTGGAGTGCAGTAGTGTGATTACGGCTCACTGCAGCCTCTGTCTCTTGGGCTCAAGCGATCCTCCTGCCTCAGCCTCCTGAGTAGCTAATACCACAGGTATGTGCCACCACACCTGGCTAATTTTTAAATTTTTTGTAGAGACAGCGTTGCTATATTGACCAGGCTGGTTTTGAACTCCTGGGGCTCAAGCAGTCTGCCTACCTCAGCCTCCCAAAGTGCTGGGATTATAGGTATGACTGCTTGGCCTTATAAGATTATTTAAACAATCAATCTAAACTTTATATTTTCTTTAATAATAAAACATTGCTTTATTATTAAATGTTTAAAAATATTAACAATAAAATGCTTAATGTTTTTTCTACTTTAAAAATGTTATGCAACCCCTTGTTCTGTCAAAGCTAATTCATTGTTCTTCAAGGTGGTTGTGACCTTCCTGCTCCTACCTGATTATCGTGTGCAACCCAGGGAGCAGATTCATTCTTCCTATTCTTGGTATCTTTCATCCATATCTGAAACTCTTTAGTGTACTCAAATTCTTCATATATCTTTTGTTTGTTACTGACACAAAAAGGGAAGAATACACATTTCTAAGTAAAAAATGGTCATATAAAAAAATCCCAGGATGGCCGGGCGCGGTGGCTCAAGCCTGTAATCCCAGCACTTTGGGAGGCGGAGACGGGTGGATCACGAGGTCAGGAGATCGAGACCATCCTGGCTAACACGGTGAAACCCCGTCTCTACTAAATATTACAAAAAACTAGCCGGGCGAGGTGGCGGGTGCCTGTAGTCCCAGCTACTCGGGAGGCTGAGGCAGGAGAATGGCGTGAACCCGGGAGGCGGAGCTTGCAGTGAGCCGAGATCTGGCCACTGCACTCCAGCCTGGGCGACAGAGCAAGACTCCGTCTCAAAAAAAAAAAAAAAAAAAAAAAAAAAAAAAAAAAAAAAATCCCAGGATATATATACATATATGTCAACATGCGTGTGTGTGTATGTTTTTCTCCTAGACAAAATGGACAAATCTTGGAAACACACAAGCTACCAAAACTGACTCAAGAAGAAATAGAAAATCTGAATAAATTTTAAGAGACTGAGCCAGTTTTCAAAAACCCCACACAAAGAAAAGCCCAGACTGGATGACTTCTCTGATGAACTCTAAGCACAGCAACATGAACCTAGTGGGAGCAGCAGATGGAAAGGAAATACACAGACCAGACATAATGTTCCATCACTGTTGCCAAATCTGAGCCATCACTGTCCCTCGCCCTGACCACAGCCTTAGCCTCTTGGTGTTCTTCTGGCTTCCATGCTCCTGCCCAGCTACAAAACAATGCTGTCAGAATGGCTATTATTAAAAAGTCAACAGATGCTAGCAGAGTTGCAGAGAAACAGGAACAGAAATTTTACACGGTTTGTGGGTGTGTAAATTAGTTCAACCATTGTGGAAGGTGGTGTGGCGATTCTTCAAAGATCTAGAACCAGAAATACCATTTGACCCAGCAATTATATACACAAAGGAATATAAATCATTCTGTTACAAAGATACACACTCGTGTATGTTCACTGAGGCACTATTCACAATAGCAAAGACATGGAATCAACCTAAATGCCCATCAGTGGTAGACTGGATAAAGAAAATGTGGTACGTGTATACCATGGAATACTATGCAGCCATAGAAAGGAATGAGAACATGTCCTTTGCAGGGACATCGATGGAGCTGGAAGCCATTATCCCCAGCAAACTAACTCAGGAACAGAAAACCAAACACCACATGTTCTCACTTATAAGTGGGAGCTGAACAATGAGAACACATGGATACATGGAGAGGAACAACACACATTGGGGCTTGTTGGGGAGTGCAGTCGGGAAGGGAGAGCATTAGGAAAAATAGCTAATGTATGCAGGGCTTAATACCTAGGTGATGGGTTGATAGGTGCAGCAAACCACCATGGCACACGTTTACCTATGTAACAAACCTGCACATGTATCTGGAACTTAGAATAAAAATTAAAAAAAAAAAAAAAAACCTAAGTCCTCCAATCATTCCCATCTCTAAGTTAAAGGCCCCTTTCTTATGACTTCTAACTAGGCCTGCATAGACTGTGCCCTGTCCTCTGCGCTCTCCTCCTCTTGCTGTCATACTTGGCTCCATGCTATCTCCATTGGCTTTAATATCTACTCCCTGGGACCCCGGGCAGCCTTACTCTGGGCCTTTGCAGTGGCTATTCCCACTCTCTGGGTTGTTCTCCTCTCAGATATCTGCATGGTTCCCTCAACTGCCTGCTTCTTGATTTTGCTTAAATTTCACCTTCCTAGTGGGACCCATTCTGTCCATCCTATGTAAAAACAGACACCCATGATTCTCCTTACTCCCAAATTTAGTTGCCCACAAACTGCTTTATCCTCTATAGCACTCATTAACTAGCTAATCTACAAAATAATGCATATGTTTTTTATGTGTGTTGTTCATGTTCTCCCCCTGCCCCATTAAGATAGAGGCACCAATAAGGCAGGGATTTACCTTTTTTTGCAATTGATGCTACTTGAAATTGTCCCAAGTACATCCTTGATATTCAATAAGTATGTTAAATTGATAAATGAGCCGGGCGCGGTGGCTCACGCCTGTAATCCCAGCACTTTGGGAGGCCGAGGTGAGTGGATCACCTGAGGGTCAGGAGTTCGAGACCAGCTTAGCCAACATGGTGAAACCCCATCTCTACTAAAAATACAAAAAAAATTAGCTGGGCATGGTGGAGGGCACCTGTAGTCCCAGCTACTCAGGAAGCTGAGGCAGGAGAATCGCTTGAACCCAGGAGGCAGAGATTGCAGTGAGCCGAGATCACGCCACTGCACTCCAGCTTGGGCAATGGTGAGACTCTGTCTCAAAAAAAAAAAAAAAAAAAAAAAAAAAAGATAAATGAATGAATGGCCTTCTGAGTAGTACCTGGACTTCACAGCTAAAAACTGAACTCACTATATGTTTGTCCAAATGACTCATGTCCATTTGTCCAAGCAGATGGCTAGAATAGCCCTGGCCTTGCTGTCACCTACTCTACTTTATCTTCTGTTGCCTCCTCGCCATCCCCACTGTCAAGTCCTTACCTTTGCTTTAGTCACAGCTTTAGCCATTGTCTCACTTTGCTTTAGTCACTGCAAGGAGTCCCTTAGCCTCCTCACCCCTGGTGTGACACCTATCTAATCTCCCTCTCAGGTAGCCACAGTGTATTTCTCAAGTGTATATAGAATCGTGCCACTTTTTTTTTGTTCCCAATCCCTTGATGACTCCCTATATGCTCAGGATAATGAACAAATGTC